TTATGACCGAAGCCTAAACATATGTCACTTCCGCGTAGGCGAATCAGTCTTTCTGCCGAAGGAGCCTCAAATCGGCAAATTTTATATTGACTATGTTGGACCATATGAAATAATTGATATTATTTACGAGACAAAAAACGTTACGCTGCTACGAGACGGCGTTAAGAAGCTCGTGCATATTAATAAAATAAAAAGAGCTTACACGCAAGACCAAGATGAACAGGAGCTCAAAGCTATCACAGAATGATGCATGCAAAAGTAAAATTGAGAGAAAAAATTATAATTTGGGAAAATATTTAGGGAATTATAAATTTATAATATAATTTTTGGCATTATGGCATTAGGAATTTTTTTTATTTAGACTAAGATTAATCCTTTTTTTTTAAATTTTTTTTTTTGGAACCTTAGTCGAGACTAATCGAAAACAAAAAAAAGATTCCAAAAAAAAAAAGGTATATTATTTTAATTACAGTCTGAGTGCCACAGTATATTCGGCCCCTTTCACTATTGAAAAATATACAGATATTTCCGGACCACTGATGGAGAGTCTTGGGCCAACTGCGATCTCATTTGCATCATGGAAAACAATCCAAAGAGTTAATATCGCAGAAATACTGGAGGCACCGAAACTATGACAGCAAGTATGAGACAAACTCCAGGAAAAGTGTCAAGACACATGCCCGTACACACATAAAGTACAACTGACAGCGTTACACCTAAACGATACAACACGAGCTGTGCACGGCCTCCTCTCAACACTCGAGCACCACACCGACAGGAACAGGAGATCACTCATACCTATCATCGGGCGAGTGGCCAACCTCCTCGTTGGTACTCTTGACGACCTAAGCGAAGATCGCATTAAGCAATGGATCGAAACATCAGCTAATGATACGAGGAAACTAGCGAGTCTGCTAGCAAACCAGACCAAAATTGTCGACGGACGTCTCGAAACGCTTACAGCAGATATCATAGCACCGAAGAACGATGTCTTCACTATACTGGATGAACGATCAAACTTCGTCGAACTAATTGATGAACTCCAAACACAGATAACATACGTACGCATGGATGCAGAGACTCTCACTGAGGCCATACTGTTCGCACGCACAGGGGTAATACACCCCCGGCTGGTGCCCACCTCGCTAGTAGACAATACAGCATCTCTGATGCGAATGGTAAAAACTAATAATAATTTACAGGTAACCGAAAATGATATTTATGAACTACTAAAAATAGCCAAAATCGTAATATTGTACAAAGAACTAATACTAATCTATTACATTGTCACCCCCTTGACAAGCCGCTCGCGATATAATCTTATAAAATTTACAGCCATTCCATTCAACATTAAAACCAATAACTCAAATAATGACTTTGCATACATTTGGCCACAATCACAATTCGCGCTAGTAGGGGATGACTTAACTTCATACATAACAATTACAGAAACGAAACTAGCCAAATGCAAGAAACTACGGGACTATCATGTCTGTACACACACAGGCCCAGTGCAAATAATACGCGAAACATCCCCGTGTGAGGTGAGACTCTTTGCAGGTGAAAAAAAGGACATAGAAACATTTTGCGACATACGCCTGACCCTATTACAAGATACATTCTGGATACAAATGCACAAACAGAACAAATGGCTATTTAGCGCGTCAAAAGCAGAAAGCGTCTTCATACAGTGCGAACACTATAGCACCGCAACAACCATATCAGACGTTGGCACAGTAAGCCTAAAACAAGGATACACAGCGCGTACAAGCAACACACTACTCGAAGCATCATTGGAATACTCATCGTCAACAAATTTATCAATATTTCGCCGTTGCTTACGAGTAAAAACACAGTGAAAAACGCTACGAAAAAAAACATACTGATAAAATGCCCCGAAAAAAAAAACAGCTCATTGAATGCTGTGAAAAAAAAACACACCTCATCGGAGCGCCACAAAAAAAAACACACCTCATTGAATGCCATGAAAAAAAAACACAGCACATTGAATACCGTGAAAAAAAAAACACAGCTCATTGGATGCCGCGAAAAAAAACACACCTCATTGGATGCCGCGAAAAAAAACACAGCAGAATAAAAACGCAACAAATTTCGATTCGGTGTGTTTTTTTCGCGGCATCCAATGAGCTGTGTTTTTTTTCGCGGCATCCAATGTGCTGTGTTTTTTTTCATTGCATTCTATGAGGTGTGTTTTTTTTCGCAGCGCTCCGATGAGGTGTGCTTTTTTTCGCAGCGCTCCGATGCGGTGTGTTTTTTTTCGCAGCGTTCCAAAGAGGTGTGTTTTTTTTTGCGGCATCCAATGAGCTGTGTTTTTTTTCGCGGCATCCAATGTGCTGTGTTTTTTTTTCATGGCATTCTATGAGGTGTGTTTTTTTTCGCAGCGCTCCGATGAGGTGTGCTTTTTTCGCAGCGCTCCGATGCGGTGTGTTTTTTTTCGCAGCGTTCCGAAGAGGTGTGTTTTTTTTCATGGTATCCAAAGAGGTGTTTTTTTTTCACGGCGCTTCGATGATGTGTGTTTTTACTCGTGAGCAACGGCGATTTACTTACACGGGAATAAATATGACACAATTAACAATGACCCCATCATTCATACAAAATCTAACCCAAAAATTAAATAATCAAATTAACAATAATTTTAAGGGTATTTACAATGATCTTGCGGATGGACAAAAACTAAACGATGTTATTATATAAGCAAAACAATTAACTACTTATACATCGCTAAGCTACGATACGGTAGCGAATTATACAGCCTGGGATTACGCGTATAATATTATCATAATCGGGGGAGCCGTCCTCATCATATTAGTGATCGCGCTCTCAGGGCTCGTATACTAAACTTTTTAAGACTAATTCCAGGAAGAACTACACACGGTAGCAGGAGAAATCTACAGCAGAGAATTAACAGCGGCAGTGTTGAATTCAATTTGGAAAGAATCGGCACCAGAAACAGGACATGAAATTTAGAAAACACCTATAGTATCAAAATTCTTTTTTAAGAAAAAAATAATAAATAAATAAATGAATAAATATTAAAACCAAAAAAAAAAAAAAACAAAAGAAACCTTTATTTTGGGTATCGATTGGCTTTATATAATAGAGAAAAAAAAAAGATATTAAAATTTGAAAGTAAATTGGAAAATTAGGTGGGAGTATAAAATTTATTATTTTAAATTCAAAATCGACCTGAAATATTTGGTTTTACTTTTAAATTATTATTATCAATATAATTAAGTATATAATTTTTTTTTATGTTTATATACAGGAAAAGATCTGACACTTATCAACAATGGAGATAGTCCGTCAACACGACCGGGCACACTACCCACTCTGGTTATCCAATTTCAAGCGCATCTAAGAAAACTCAAAGCTGACCAAGCACTGCGACCAGACATGCCAGTAGAAAAAAAAAATTGAAAAAGAGATATATGAGCATTTAAATATTACAGTAGAATTAATTTAGAATTGCATTATTATTTAAAATTATTTGATTCATTAATTTTATATACTAAATTTGAGTATTATTAAAATAATTATTTTTATTTATTAAAATCGAAACTTATGGTTATTATGAGTAATTCCTATATGAAACTTATTATTATATATAATATGAAAAAAAGAGTAAATAGGTAGAATTTGAAAAAAAAGAAAAAGTTTGGCGGATGGATGGGTTTTCCTACACACCATAATCCCTACACACTCTATGGATCTTGTACTTTTGTTGCTGACACAAATTATAATTTATGATATTGATGGATACAGTCAGATAAGAAAAAGAAGGAGAAAAATATGGAACACTAACAAACAATATATTCTATTCTGCAAATAAACTAGCATATTGAACAGTATAAGCATATGCACGGCAAGCGGGCAGAACATCTAGAATTCGTCGAATCCGCCGAGTACACGGTCACTAGGACCATCCTTCACACACACTGTGCCAATTCAAAATCGGACTTCGCGGGACCATAGATCCCCACAAAGGAAGACCGTCCACGCACAGCGATCGATTCTATCCACCAGGAAAATAGGAAGATCGATATTCAAATTAACCTCGAACCAACCACCATCGACGCGAACACGCTCCGGCCACATTGCCATGATCGCTTGAACATCACAGCCGAGAGGAGGAAGTTCCATAAGATAAGATCCCCAATTGCAACATACATTCAGATATAAATAAAAGAACAATATATCTAGCTAAGCCAAGAAAACAAGCCAAGAAAGCGGTAAGTAATGTAAATAAACAAATAACGACAACACGTGTTTCGCTGTTGGTGAGAGACGTAGGTTATACGAGCAGCCGTATATGCTGCAATTAATGTTACGATCATCGACAATTGTTGATAATGCCGGCCTACTCCTGGAAAATGAAAGAAATTTACAATGTGTGTGTGATGATGACGAAAAACTTTCCAGTCTAATATGCTGCTTTCGAGAGGCTGGCGATCGTCCCTATCTCATGCTGCTTTCTTGGTTTTGAAAAAAAAATTCGAGTCTTATTGACTACAGGTCTCGTGCAGCGCTCTGACTCCGACGTACATCTGACTACGAATTTGTAAATGAAAAAATCATTGTCGAGGATGATGATCGCTCCCATTTTATGCTGTTATTTGATAAGCTTGGTCGCGAGGCTTGCGTTCTATAACGGATTATCTAATATTTATTTGCTACATTACTATTTTCAAGAATACCTGTCGGTATGTTCAAAAACTTTTTATTAGAAACATCATATTAACAAAACAAGATAACCAGTTCAAAAATTGTCGTTACGGTAAGTATTGTAATATGTGTGTGTGTCCGTGTGCAATATGCGAGTCGGTGTCTGTATTAATTCGCTCGCGCGCGTGTGTCTGTGTTTGTGTGCGTATGTCTGTGTTTGTGCTTGTGCGTGTGCTTTTGCGTGTGCTTGTACGTGTGCGTGTGGGTGTCAGGTGTATTCATTTTTTGAACATACATATATTAGATTTAGTATAAATTCACATTAACTGCTCAAAGTGGCCTCCTTCTTGCTCGATACATTTTCTGAGTCGTTTTACAAAATTTTCCCGGACATAATATAACATTTCCTCTGTTATAGTCGCAGCGGCTTGCGTTATTTTATTTTCTAGATCTTGCTCACTACTTAATTCTGAGATGTAGATTTTTCCCTTGATAGCTCCCCAGTAAAAGAAGTCAAGTGGATTCAGGTCTGGGCTCCGAGCTGGCCAAGAAATAAATGGAACATGTCCATTTCGGCGTGGAACACCTATCCAACGTTGAGGATACCGACGATTTAGAAGTTTCGTAGTTGCATGTGCCGTGTGAGGGGTAGCTCCATCGTGCTGAAAAATTACTTCATTTTCTTCAATGAAATTTCTTTGAAGATGTTTTGGAAGTTCATCGTCAAGAAATCGACGATAACGTCGACCTCTCAACCTCACCGGAAAGTCTATTGGTCCAATCTAATAAAATATTTGAACAATTTTATGTAGCGTTTCAAAAATAATCTATTGTTCATCGATTTATAACATCGTTGTATACTCAAAATAGTGTCACCAATAATTCCCACCCAATTGTTGGTCATGAACCTCGTTTGGTGTTTATTTTGCACGACGAGATGAGGATTTACGACGCCGTATTGATGGACGTTATGGACGTTAAAGGTATCATCTCTACCAAAAGTCGACTCATCGGGGAAAAGAATTCGTCCGAGAAATGTATCATCTTCTGTTATTCGGTCCAACATGATTTCGCAGAAACGCACTCTCAAAGGATAATCCTCTGGTTTCAGAGCTTGCACTTTCCAGTAGTGGTATGCGTAAAGATGATTTCTCTTAAGCACATTCTGAACTAAATTATAGGACAAGTTTTGTTCACGGCTTATTCTGCGAATACTAGTCCCAGGGTCGACTTCAACGGCATCTAAAAAAAATTTTTTGATGATCGTTGAAATAGCAAAAACATTCCTACATATTCACGCACACTCGCAATCATACATACACACGCACACCCGCAGTCATACATATACACGCACACTCGCAGCCAAACGTACACACGCACTAGCTCAGATAAACAAACATACACTCACTCGCAATCATACATACTGTCACGTGGGACGACAAGGCCCCACCAGTGACGCGGCGCACTACAATGAGAGTCATAAGCATAGCTCATCAGCGGCGGCAGTATCAGTACATCAAGCGACGAGGAGACACCTTGCGCGAACGGCCCCTCCCCTCTGATATATTTTGAGCCTAATTAGTTATTTCGCCTTTTATTTAACCCCTTCCCACGTAACACCCTGGGCGCTCCCCTTTTAATTTTGGTGCTAGGTGTGTTCGACGGTGACTGTTGTTCTATTCGTGATCGGTGCATAGCTTTGTTTTTGTCTTTTTTTTTTAACAAAAAAAAAAACGAGTTCGAAACCGCACGCAGCAGTACCAATACCGTCGAAAGAGTGAATCACAGGGTTGTGAATGTGGCATGGGATAAATCGCAAGCTGCCTATACCATTGCGACAGGTAAGTAGAATTACAATTGGATTTAAAATTATTGCAATCAAGTTGCAAGTTGCACGACCCAATATTTTCATGTTTTAGAAAGGACCCCGGAGCATAGAAATAGGGTTGTGGGTCCCCGTCAAATCGCATGAAAATTTGCAAATAGATAGATTTTGACTTTCTGAGCAAAAGTCAACATTGGCGCAACTTTGTACAATTAGCCGTTTTTGAGATAAATTATAATAAAGTCATGAATTTTTGTGTTTGGTCAACATAACCATTTTTCAGGCGGCAAGCGCAGTTCACGAGAGACACATCGATTCGAACGAATTGAGATTGTTATTATAACCAAAAAATACATCGAATATCATAATGAATATACACGAGACGAAGACTTGAAATCATAAGAGCTAATGAAAAAAAAAATTACTAAAGTACTCGTAGGATGGGAGAAAAAGATCGAATTTTAAGAGCCCGCCAGCTCCTTAGGACAAAAACGTAACAAAACTCGTTGCGGCGACTAAAGTCTATCATAGTTTGTCGAGTGAATCGATTTGAAAACCACCCGGTGAATTTGCGTGCGTTTCTCGACTAGTACTAGATAATAGCAAGCGAAAAATAGAATTTCGAAAGCGCGACAACCTACCTCGCGACAAAAATGTAGCGAGAGTCGTCGTGATGACCAGAGTCTTTGTACATTGGTAAAGAAAATTAATTTGACACGCACCTGGTGATTCTGCGTGTGAACCTCGCCGAGAACTCGATGTATGCGAGAGTAAATTAACGCCGACTAGGCCAAACTGAGAGTGACAACCAGGATCTTTCTTTATTTCGAAAATAATTTCATTTGCCCTCCACCTGGTGAAACTGCGCATCAGACTTAACCGAGTACTCGACGTATGCGAGAGTAAATAAACGCGAAAGTGGCAAAACTCGGAGTGACGACCGGAGTATGTAATCGGTTTAAAAATTATTGCATTCGCCCTTGATCTGGTGAGTTTGCGCGTAAACCTCGCCGAGTACTCGATGTATGCGAGAAGAAAATTAACGCCAACGAGGCAAAACTCGATGTGTTGACCGGGATCTTTCTTTATTTTGAAAATTATTTCATTTGCCCTTTACCTGCTGAGTCTACGCGTAAACCTCGCCGAGTACTCGATGTATGCGAGAATAAAATTAACGCCGACGAGGCAAAACTGAATGTGACGACCAGAGTATTTTTTCGTTTTAAAAATTATTTCATTTGCCCTTGACCTGCTGAGTCTACGCGTATACCTCGCGAGGTACTCGATGTATGCGAGAAGAAAATGAACGCCGACGAGGCAAAACTGAGAGTGACGACCAGAGTATTTCTTCGTTTGGAAAATTATTTCATTTGCCTTCGACCTCGTAAGTCTGCGCTCAGACTTAACCTAGTGCTCGATGTATGCGAGGATAAATTAACGCCAACGAGGCAAAACTCGATGTGTTGACCGGGATCTTTCTTTACTTTAAAAATTATTTCATTTGCCCTTGACCTGCTGAGTCTACGCGTATACCTCGCGAGGTACTCGATGTATGCGAGAAGAAAATGAACGCCGACGAGGCAAAACTGAGAGTGACGACCGGAGTATTTCTTTGTTTCAAAAATTGACTTATTTGCCCTCGACCTGGTGAATCTGCGTGTGTTTCTTTACGAGTACTTGACTTATACGAGAATAAATTAACGCACACGTGGCTAAACTCGATGTGGCGATCGGAGTATTTCATGGTTTCGAAAATTATTTCCTTTGCCTATGACGTTGTGAATCTGCGCATAAATCTTACCACGTACTCAATGTATGCGAGAAAAAAATCGAATTTCGAGAGCCAGATTAGTCGCCATCTTAAATACTCAAAATTAATTTTTCAATCAATTAATTTAATTACTCAAAATTAATTTCAATAAAATAAATTAGAACTCTTTTTTTTTAGTTATGCGTTTATTTCATTTGATCTAGGATTAGCTGGAATGAATTAGCCTCCGTGTAAACGAATTTCTTCAAAGGGGATTAATTTGGGGAGGTCTTTCTGCAGCATCGTCAATCAGCCTTATCAGGTTTTGTGATGGAAAATGCACATTTCTCAGTATTCTCGCATAACCCAAGTACCATAGGATACTTGCAATATGAACGCAAGTTCCTAAGGTACGGGCTCCGGTCCTGCATGTGCAGTAATATCCTCTAATAGGATGATCTTCCTCATCTGCCGCCGGGACAAAATGAATGAATTGTTGGTAACGAGTACGATTTCTATACCGCGACCAAATTCTTGAACGTAGGAATCCTGGTTCGGGTATTTGCTCTTCGTCACACAACAATTCAACCTATAATTTTTTTATAAATATTTTATGTTACGGAAAATAATCAGTATCTCCTTCAAGTTGTTATTATAACATTACTTGGATCTCCTCTTGTTCATCCCTTTGCAATGTATCTTGAATATATGATGGAGCCAACTCAAGTTGAAATACACCAGCTGTTAAATTTTCAAGATAATTTTCGTCCAATATGGGAAAATCATTCACTTGATTCACGTTTAATCTAAGCCACCTGATATTGTACAATTAATTATTACTACTTATTCAGGGTTCGAAGGGAAGCATTGAGTGGAGTATATTAGCATCAATGTATGTTCACAGATATACTTGAAAGGGTGCACGTTTGTTTCGTATTTTTTTGTGGGATGCGTGGGTGTGTGTGTGTGTGTGTGTTTGTCTGCGTGTATGTGTACGTAAAGTGTGTAGTTTGCGTGTGTGTGTGTGTTTGTCTGCGCGCGCGTGTGTGTGTGTGTTTGTCTGCGCTCGCGTGTGTGTGTGTGTGTGTGTGTGTGTGTGTGTGTGTTTGTATG